CACTCCTGGTAAGTCCACAATACACCGTATCGAGTCATTGTAGAGCACTGTCATGAGTTCGGCCGTGAGCTGCTTGCAGTTGACATCAACCTCAAGAAGGCGTTCAATAAGGTGCATCAAGAATCAGTGGGAGATCCTGAGATCGAGCGGAATTCCAATAAAGATTACTGGATTAATAGGAAGCCTGTATACTGGTACTGAAAGTGCTGGAAAGGTATGTCTAGTTTCTTCCCTTTTAGTTCAGGAGTGAGGCGAGGCTGTGTTCTTGCACCAACTCTTTTCAACCCTTGCATGGACTGGATACTGGGCAGAGTTACTGTACAAAATCATTGTGGAGAAACTCTTAGTAATATCAAGGTTACTGACCTTGACTTTATTGATGATGTTGCTATCCTATCTACGTCCCTGGAAATTTTGGTGGTGGCTCTAGATGCATTCTGCAATGAAGCGAAGCCCTTGGGTCTAGAGGTCTCCTGGACTAAGACCAAGAACCAGGATTTTGGGGGCCTGCCAGGAGAACCTACTTGGTCGATACATGCTTGTGTCAAAGACTTTGAAATCGCAGAGCTTTACATACCTTGGTAGTGTAGTTCATGACCCTGGCCTCTCAAGCCAGGAAGTCAGCAGACGGATTGGCATGGCAGCAGGGGTTATGAATTCTCTTGACATTAGTATTAGAAGATGCCGGTACCTGTGCAGAAGGACCAAACTACGCATTTTCAAGGCCTTGAGACTGCCAGTTTTTACTATACGGTAGTGAAACCCGGACGCTCTCCTGTATCTTGGAGTCTCGTCTTGACGCCTTTTCTAATAAGTCTTTGCGCCAGATCATGAGGTACAGTTGGCAGGATCGTGTGTCCAACCAATGATTACATCATGTGACTGAAGGTCTGACTTGTGCAGATCGATCAGACCTGTAGGTAAAAGTCTGAAATGTGCCGAGTCAATGCCTGATGGCTCGCTGTGAGGGACCCTCGTAGGTGGAAACGAAGGGAGGCTGCGGCTATACGTCGTTAATTCACAAATGAGAATAATAACAATGAAAATGATAATGATAGGAGCACAAATAATAATAACAATAACAAGGAAAATGATAATGATAGTAATAGTAAATAATAATGACAATAATAATGATAATGACAATGATAGTAATAATAATAACAATAATGATAATAATGATAATGATAACAAAGGTAATATTAACAGTAGTAATAGCAATAACAATAATAATAGTCCAATACCAATTATTATTAAAATTCAATAGCACCTAAATTGGGCGAAAACTTTCCTCTGGTAAAAATTTCATAAACATTTGTTCAAAACGTTTTGAGCTCTCCTGCGCAGTGAGACTAAGACACCAGGTATAAGTTTCCTTAAAATCTACTCATAACTGTTTGGGTTTCCCTGATAACCAATGAAACAATGAAGAAACTAACCAACGCCACCAAAAAATAGCATTGCGAATAATGATAATGGAATAATGATAACAAAATAATAATGATAATGATAATAATAATGATAACAAAAAATATAATGATATAATAATATATAATGACAAAGATGATGATATTATTAGGGATAATAATAATAACAATGATAATGATAACGATAATCGGAAGCACTTGAAGGGCGCATACCTCCGCCAAGGCAATGAAGTCACTGACGAAATCAAGATATTCACACTTTCTCAAGTTTCTCGAAGGAGGCAAGACAACAGGAGTAAAGATACAGTCATTAAAAAATTATAAATCCTGGATCACCACCAAAATTTGATGAAAGCCACACCTCTGGTAAAATTTTTCATAGAAATCTGTTCGTAACTTAATGGAAATAAAAAATAATATATAATAAAAACTAAATAAAAACTGACAAACTAACTAACCAACGCGACCATAACTTCGTTGGCGGAGGTAATAATAATGATAATGATAATAATGATATTGAAAATGATAATTGTAATAGTAGTAATGATTATGATAATGAAAATAACAATGATGATAATGATAATGATAGTAACAATGGTAAAAGTAATAGTAATAATAATGTTAAATACAATGGTAATATAACAGTAATGATAATAAAGATTGATATTATCATCATTATTATTATAATGATAATGACAATAATAGTAATGTAATCAAATAATGCAAATAGAAATAATAGTAATAATGATAATGGTGATGATAATAATAATAATGATAATGATAATAACAATAAAAATGATAATGTTGATAGCAACATTAGCAATGAGGATAATGATAAAGGTGGTAATAGTAACAAAAATAATGATAGTAATAATGATCATAATAATAATGATAATAATAAAAATAATAATGATGATAGTAATAATGTTAATAATAATAGTAATAATAACAAAAATAACTGATAATAATGATAATAATAATATCAATAATGGCACAAATAACGGATGATGATGATAATGATAGTAATATTGAAAATGACAATAATGATAATGGTAATAATAATAATGACAGAAATAGTGAAAACAACAATAATTATGATAATAGTGATGATGATGATAATTATAAAGACAATAAAGATAATGATAATGATAATAATGATAATCACAATGGTAGTGATAATCAAAATGATAATGATGATAATAGTAATGATAATGATAATAAAGATAATATCAATAACAATAGTAATAATGATAATCATACTCATAATAATAATAATAGTGATAACAAAAATAATAATGATAATAATAAAAGTAATGACGGTGATAGTAATAATGATAATAATAATAGCAATGGTAATAATGATGATGATGATGATGATAACAATAATGATACTAATAATGATAATAATGATAGTAGGGGTGATAATAATAATAATGATAATAATAATAATGATGATAATAATAATGATGATGATAATAATAATAATAATAATAATAATAATAATAATAATAATAATAATAATAATGGTAATAATAATAATAATGATAATAATAATAATAGTAATAATATGGTAATGATGATTATGATAATAATAATGATAATAACAATTGTAATAAAAAAATGATAATAATAAGAATAATGATAATTATGATAATAATAGTAATTATAATAATGAAAATGATTGTAATAATGACAATAATAATAACAGCAATACTGATAATAATAATACAAGTAATGATGAGGAGCATTTCACTGCCCGAAATAGCGTACGGGATTTCAGGGATTTCCGAAATCCCAATTTTTACCGGGACTTCCGGATTTTACGATTTTTCCGGATTTCCAGACAGATTTCCGGGATTTCCGGATTTCCAGACAGATTTCTCGGGATTTTTCAGACAGATTTCCGGTTTCCAGACAGATTTCTCGGGGATTTCCAGATTTCCAGACAGATTTCTCGGGGACTTCCAGATTTCCAGACAGATTTCTCGGGGATTTCCAGATTTCCAGACAGATTTCTCGGGGATTTTTTCCAGAGATTTCCGGATTTCCAGACAGATTTCTCGGGGATTTCGGATTTCCAGACAGATTTCTCGGGATTTCCGGATTTCCAGACAGATTTCTCGGGATTTCCGGATTTCCAGACAGATTTCTCGGGGATTTCCGGATTTCCAGACAGATTTCTCGGAGATTTCCGGACTTCGAGGACTTTCCAAACTTTTCAAAGGCATTTACAAAACTAATAAATCATCACAAATGTTTCAAAAACTAAGCTGTTATCAGCCGTTACCTTATAGGTTCCACATGAAATTAGTTATTTTAAAACATGAGTCTACGTAAGGTTACTGTAATCCTTTAGACAAAAAAAAAATCGCGAGTTTTTGTTTTCGTCATGAGCTGGTGGATTAACCTTGGGATTACCTATTAATAATACTTATTAATACTATTAACAATACTTATTCGAGAATCGTTTAAGTCACTTCCAGAAATAATCCCAATTCCTCGGAAATCTGAGCCTTTTAGAAGGAGCAATCCTGTTTCTGATAAATTGTCTGAGAATAGACATTAGGTGATTAAGCCTTACTGCTTGACTTTTGTGTAAATCCTTTTTCTGGTATTTTTGTTTCATTTTGATAAAAGCCTGTTTTCCCACAGAAAGGATTCTGTAATATGAAATTTATTTACCTTAAGAGCCAATTAAATATCTAGCAACTTAAAGGGTCGCAAAATATAGCCATAGATATATATATATATATATATATATATATATATATATATAATATATATATAGAATATATATATATGCTACTAATCCGTGTCAGTGATTTCTGATAAATTCACTTGTCCGATTTTTGTCGGAGGTTATGACACTTTTTTTTACCGATCTTCAGACATTTCTTTAGTCCTATAACAAAGATTTTGCAAATGGTTGCTGAGAAATGGAACTTTTGCGCGATTCTAGAATTCTTTTTTTGATTTCCTTGAGATTTTCGGATTTTCTAAGGATTTCCGATTTATTTTCTCTGATTTCCAAATACGAGATTTTCGAAGTGAAATGCCCCTCGAGTAATGATAATGATAATGAATATAATAATGTAATGATAATGAATATAATAAGTAATGATGATTATAATAAATATAATATAATGATAATGAATATAAATAATAATAATATAATAATATAATATAATAATGAATGATAATGAATATAATAAGAATGATTATAATAAAGAAAATAATAACAATGAAAAATCATTTTGAGAATGATGGTAGTAAGAATGACAATAAACACAATGATGAAAGTACATGAACAGCAACAATTTTCATTATGAAAATTTGAAACATCCTTATGATAATAAAACGTCATCATAACGATAATGGTAATGGAAGTGTATCGGTAATAATATTCAAGTGCCTTTTCGAACTAAAGACCACATTCATTCCAAAATCCGGATCCGGGAGTCAATCGAATAAACTGCAAACAAAAAAAGATTTTCCAATGCGAATAAGAAAGTTTTTTTTGACCCTTTCCTGATTTTCCTTCGCTGCTCCTGCACGTGCTCCTGAATTCCGTGGGGGACAACACCGCCCGGTCGAGCCGCCGAGCTCACATGGGAAGGAAAATCAACACAGTGTGACATAGCAACGTTGGTCGTATAATTATTATTATTTGTTAATTTAGCACCATGGGGGAGACAGTGATAGGGAGCCTGGTGCCAGAATGGGCGGACTTGGATCCAAATACGCTCGGGGAACCAGTCAAAAGCATTGAGGTGAGGTTCTCGTGGAAGAAATGAGAGTTCTGGTTGCACATTCAGCATTAATAATGTTCGCGTTTGTTAAGTTTTAGTTTTAGTCGGATCGGGTTAACGTAATTGGCATTTCAACGTTTCATATATCAATGAAAGATGAGTCTGTTGCATCAAAATCTACTTTAAACCAGCTGTGACCTGTTATTGATGGCTGACAGTTTGGTCTAAGATGAGGGTGGCACTGTCAAGTGATCAACATGGCCTCTGCACTGCATGCAAATACCAACAAACTCACAAATTGCTAACTGACAAGTTAATTAATAGACAGAGTGATATAACTCCTATTGCCGGTTAACATATAAGGAAGTTTGGGTTAAATCTTAATTTTGGGGGTATTTATTCAAGTATAATAATATTCATGCCATTTGTCCCTCACATAACCCAAAATAAGTAGCTCAGATACTCATGTTGAGTGCATTTGAGGGTGGATTTGATTTAGTCAATCAATTTAATTTCCAAGACATTTCACACTTGTGGCCTACTCTTGAGAAACTGTTTCTGTTTCTCTTTCATTATACTTATCTCCTATGAAGTTCTGAAATTGCAGTTAGATTTGCTTTGCAGAAACAAGTGCTGAAATTGTAGTTAGTTTTTAATTGTCACAAGTCAATAATGTTAGTAGTGATAGGACAAATTAATATTTTTCTCCCTTTTTCTTACAGTCTTTCTGTTTTTACTCTTTTTAAAATTTTAATCTTAATCTTATTATTATTCATATTCAGGTATACAACATTTTTCTTTTTCTTTTCTTTTAGCTTGTTTCTTTAGGTGTGTCATTGTTTTTATATGACTAAAATTTAGACTGATGTCATGTGATTTTTCTTCAGGACAAATGGAAATTAGTCCCAGCATTTCTTCGTGTAAAGGGACTGGTGAAGCAGCACATTGATTCCTTCAACTACTTCATCAATGTGGACATCAAGAACATTGTCAAAGCTAACAGCAAAGTTACAAGTGATGTTGATCCTCTCTTCTATGTTAAGTATGTTTTCATTGATTGTTAGTCATGTATATAAATGGATATTGAGATAGATATCTTTGACATATCCTGACTTTTCAATTTTCTTTTCACTGATTATTCTTTAAGATGATAATACAAGTTTGTATGTTTTAGAAAAGATTTCTTGTAATTTACATTGAGTACTATATTCTAAACAAATTTCTACCAATATATGATCATTTAAGTTCACTGTGTTATAATGATAAAGTTGATTTGTCTTTAGGTATATGGATGTACGTGTTGGAAAGCCAAATATTGAAGAAGGCATGAACATTGTAAGCGAAACAGCACCACATGAGTGCAGACTCCGCGACATTACATATTCAGCTCCAATCATGGTTGATGTGGAGTACATGAGAGGAGACCACAGAATCTTTAGACGAGATATTCCCATTGGTAAGTTTTTGGGAATATTGACAGATTTACTCCTTGTTCAGTTATGAAATATAGTTTTGATAGATCTAAATCACATTTTATGAAAACAAAGTATGAAAGGAAAGATGTGTAGAAGCCATTTTTGGAATGAGGATGTACTGTAGAATTGTTTTCCAGGTCGAATGCCAATCATGCTGCGATCCTCAAATTGTGTGTTGTCACAGTGCAGAACACATGCAGAGCTTGCAAAATATAATGAGTGCCCACATGATCCTGGTGGATATTTCATAATCAAGGGACAGGAGAAAGTAAGTTTTTCAAAATCTACTGTGTGAAAGAGCCTTGAAATATGTTAATCTTTTTGAACTATAGAAGTACTCTTTTCTTTCTTTCTTTCCATCTTTTCTTTAATGATACTAATATTTCGGAATCATTACATTCAAATGATTCCATTCATTTACTTTTAGTCTTTATTTACATTTTTTTTTTTTTTTCCATAGGTTATTCTCATCCAGGAACAGCTTTCCAAAAATCGTATGATTGTTGAAGAGGACAAGAAAGGAGGGCTTACATGCCAGGTGACATCATCTACACATGAGAAGAAATCTCGCACCAATGTAACAATAAAGAATGGAAAATATTACATCAAGCATAACACTCTTACTGATGATGTTGCTGTGGGCATTGTTTTCAAAGCCATGGGAGTAACCAGTGACCAGGAGATTGTGCAGATGATAGGAACAGAAGACAGAATCATGACATCTTTTGCAGCATCTCTGGAGGAATGTGCCAGACTCAATGTTTACACGCAAACGCAGGCACTGAAGTTTATCGGTGGCAAAGTGCGACAGAAGAGGTTCTTTGACCGTGGCCCCAAAAAGACCCCAGTAGATGAAGCAAGAGATTTGTTAGCCACAACTATTTTGGCTCATGTACCAGTTGAAAAGTTCAATTTCAAGATGAAGTCCATCTACTTGGCTCTAATGGTACGGAGAGTGATTGAAGCCCAGGGTGACACTAGGATTGTTGATGATCGAGATTACTATGGAAACAAGAGGCTGGAGCTTGCAGGGTCCCTGATCTCCCTTCTGTTTGAAGATTTATTCAAAAAGTTTAATTCTGACTTGAAAAAGAAGTCTGATATTATTCTTGGCAAAAAGGGCAAAGTGTCTCAGTTTGATGCGGTACAGTACATGCAGTCTAGCCAGGATGCTATAACCAATGGGTTAGAAGTTGCCATCTCAACAGGGAACTGGACCATCAAGAGGTTTAAGATGGAGAGGCAAGGAGTCACTCAAGTGCTGGCGAGGCTCTCCTACATCTCAGCTTTGGGTATGATGACCAGAGTGAACTCCCAGTTTGAAAAGACAAGGAAAGTGAGTGGGCCCAGATCCCTTCAGCCTTCTCAGTGGGGAATGGTGTGCCCCTCAGACACACCAGAAGGAGAGTCTTGTGGTCTTGTGAAGAATCTAGCTCTAATGACCCACATTACCACAGAAGTAGATCCAGAACCTATCATAGAACTGGCCTTCAACTGTGGTGTGGAAGATATCAATCTGACTGGGAGAAGCTGTCAAACAGAGATGTCTTCTTAGTTTTCCTCAATGGTAACATCATAGGTGTTACGAGGGATCGCCGGAGAGTGGTTCGTGTGTTCCGTGCGATGAGAAGGAATAATGTCATCAGTGGTTTTGTTTCTATATACCCTCACAACAAGCATCGTTGTGTTTACATCAGCTCTGATGGAGGCCGGCTCTGTCGTCCATACATGATTGTGGAGAACTGTCGACCAGCTGTGACTGAACACCATATAGAAAGATTAGCTCGAGGTTTAATGACCTTTGATGATTTTTTGCATGAAGGTTTGGTAGAGTATTTGGATGTGAATGAAGAAAATGACTCCAGTATTGCCATGTATGAACATGAAATCAGTCCAAAAACATCACACATGGAAATTGAACCTTTCACAATCCTAGGTGTCTGTGCTGGATTGATCCCCTATCCACATCATAATCAGAGTCCTCGTAATACCTACCAATGTGCTATGGGTAAGCAGGCTATGGGAACTATAGGCTATAATCAAAGGAACAGAATTGATACTTTACTGTATAATTTAGTGTATCCTCATAAACCTCTTGTTAAAACAAGAACAATTGAACTGATCAACTTTGAACATCTCCCTGCTGGACATAATGCTATGGTAGCAGTTATGAGCTATTCAGGATATGATATTGAAGATGCCATCATTATAAACAAAGCATCCCTTGATAGAGGCTATGGACGGTGTATTGTTTATAGAAATGCCAAATGTTCAGTGAAGCGCTATGCCAACCAGACATCAGATAAAGTTCAAGGCCCACTCATGCAGGTTTTAGAAGGAGGGAAACAAAAGCCAATATGGAAACATGAAACCCTAGATAGCGATGGACTAGCAGCAGTTGGTACTCCTGTCCTACCAAGACAGGTGTTGATAAATAAGCAGATGCCAACTGTGACACAACTTTCGTATACTGATGGACAAGCACAGAGGCAGGTTGAATTCCGCGACACGCCAGTAGTACATAAAGGGCCAGGAAGTATATATGTAGAGAAAGTGATGCTGTCATCAGATCCAGACGAATTCAATTTGATCAAGATCCTTTTGAGACAGACACGAAGACCAGAGATAGGTGACAAGTTCTCCTCTCGCCACGGCCAAAAAGGCGTGACAGGTCTAATTGTGCAACAGGAAAACCTTCCCTTCTCTGACCATGGGATGTACCCGGACATGATCATGAACCCTCATGGTTTCCCTTCTCGTATGACAGTTGGAAAACTCATGGAACTTCTTGGTAGTAAAGCAGCTGCTCTGGAAGGAAAGTTCAATTATGGTACTGCTTTTGGCGGTACATCAGTTAAGGATATCATGGAGGATCTAGTCAAGCATGGGTTTAATTATCAGGTAGGATTTTTACTGAGTAGAGCATAAATTGTTTTAATTGCCTTTCTATTAATTTTCAGTAAGTTTGATTAATCTTTCAATATGTATAGTTGTTAACTTTAATTATCCTTTAAAGAGAACTAGTAAGTGCATAGTTTAGCAAAATATATTTCCAAGACAAAGGCATACTTAAGTCTGTACTGATAATAGCCATATTTTCAGGGCAAAGACATGCTTTACAGTGGTACAACCGGTGAGGCATTAAAGGGTTACATCTTCTTTGGCCCAGTTTACTACCAAAAGTTGAAGCATATGGTTATGGACAAGATGCATGCTCGATCTCGTGGTCCCAGAGCTGTCTTGACTCGACAGCCAACAGAGGGACGTGCTCGTGACGGTGGCCTCAGGCTTGGAGAGATGGAGCGTGATTGCCTAATTGGCCACGGGGCAAGGTACGTTTATTATGGAAGAGATCCTAGGAGAATAAATAACTGTGGTATAATTCAGGTAGCTAGGTTAAAAAAAAATTTCTCTCTCTCTCTCTCTTTTTTTCTTTCTTTCTTTCTTTATATTATCTTTTTTTTTTTTTTTTTTTTTTTTTTTTTTTTCTTTTTCTTTTTCTTTTTCTATTTTATCATTATTATTACACTTCATTTATAATAACATTATCCTTTTTTTTTTTTTAACAGCATGTTGCTGCTAGAACGTCTCATGATATCCTCGGATGCATTTGATGTCGATGTTTGCAACTCCTGTGGCCTGCTGGGTTACTCTGGGTGGTGTCACTACTGCCGTTCATCAGCTAATGTGTCATCAATACGGATTCCTTATGCATGTAAACTTTTATTCCAGGAACTACAGAGTATGAACATTGTTCCTAGGTTGCGTTTGCAGAATTATTGTAGTTGAAGGTTGTATGTCACTCATGTTTATGCACTTTTACCTTTTATATCCAGACATGAAACTGGATTTCTATATTTCTTTCCACGTTTCTACCAGTCATTTGTTGTAATTTATTGGGAATTTAATTCTTTAGGAGCGAATGTGAAAAATCCGCCGTAACATGAAAGGTAGCAGAGGGCTATCCCTAGTATCTGGATATAAAGGATTGAATTGGAATTTATTTTCAGTTACAGATTTTTACTAAGTTTGCCAGTCACATTGTTCTTGTAAGGCAAGTTATTACAGGAAAGATTTTGTTAATCAAATGCTGTTCTTATTTGTAATAAATGGATTTCCAAAATTCATATATTTGTTTTTTTGTGAACCTATGTTTTCTACCTTATTGCATTCTTCAAGAATGGCTTTTCCTGTGAAATTGTAATGAACGATTGACTGTAAAGAATAACATTCTTCCATAGAATATAGATAGAATATGAAAATAATTGATGTAATTAGGAAGATGTATTAATTTTTTTTTTCATTTAATGTAATGAGTATACAGACCAGTTTCCTTTTTCAAAAGTGTATGCAATTCATTTGTATATTCAAATTCTCAATTTACACAGAATGCTTTGGAAGGTCATACATTCCCACTATTTTTTTTTTTTTCTGGAATAGTTTGGATTACTAATAATTAAAATATTTTCATTATCTTAATTTCAAACATTAGCTTGCACATACACAAACATGCACAAGCAGTGATATGGGTAAATTTAAATCTGAACAAAATGAAATTCTTTATTACAAGCCATGGCAAGATAAACCATCATGTAACTAGAAAATAATATGTACTATATTTAATCACATCCATCAAAGTTCCATGTTGCAAGAGGTTTTCTTTCACATTTTTTAAGATCTTTATTAGGTATATGATGCATGTTTATTTCAAAATAAAAAAGAAAGGAAAAAATTATTCAACTCTAAAATTACAGGACCTTTTTCCATGAAGGCAACCTCTCTGTTGGATAAGATTTCAAATACATAAATATATGCCTAATTAACTTCAGCTACTGATACATTTATGAATGTAAACAGATCAACAAATATTCTAGTATTTCTTTCCAAATCATATATACAAAAATATTTACATATTCTGCTTAACAGTAATCTGCAACAAGAAGCGAAGTCTGAAAATACAAATGAAACTGTGCATCTAGTTGTAGTCTGAATTACAGTAACATTATAGTTGACAGTTCAGTGAGGAAAACTGACAATAACATTCACTATGCTCATACTGACATACTTTACCACACACAGTTGCTACAACATTTCCTTCAATGACATTTAAAGTAAGTCAAGGTTTTTTATTAAGTTCTAAATTTCAAGCCAGTTTATCTGGAGTGAAGTACATCCACAATATAGAAAAAGATATTGCCATTACCATCAATATCAGTTTTTCTTCATGCATAAAAGCTAATCCGTGTGCAGACGAGTAGATCACACCAATGATGAATAAATGGAGATACAGATTACCATTCATTTCATATCTTAATGAATTTTTGTAAATAAGATCTCACAATTAAAAGTAAATGGAAGATAATATAATAAGAAACAAAATAATATCTAATCCTCACAATGCTGACAAACAAAAAAAAAGCCTAATTATATACCAACAGACATCCCGAACACCATTACTTCAAAAATATATATATAATGGTCTGTTGCCTTGGAAACCAGTTTGTCCTTCAGAACTGGTACCATTCTGTCCAACATTTCAGGGAAATGTCTGGAATGTCCTTAATTTTAGTATCAAATTCAGAAATAAACAAAATATAGAGCTTCAGTTTGACACAAATATTTCCTTATATAGCTAAATATTATTTTTGGATTTATCTTACTTCTAACAATAATTTTTACTTGACTTTGCAGGAATCTTAATTTTCATTCCAGCTATTTTTACTTTTGTAATATTTCACTTTACTTTATATACACTAGAAGAGGCAAAATAGTCATCTGAAACTCATAGTGGTAGCTAGATACCATAGTATCAACATACATAAAGTGTTTAAAATTACTTGTCCTTTCACCTGCAGAATTTGCTCCCCATAACAAGAATTACGTGATTTTCTTATGACTTTATTTCTTTATTAAATGTTCGATTCAAATGGCTTAGGAGTTAAAAATGATGTGTCTCTCAAATCATACCTCTTTAACTTTTTCTTCGTAAGTATTTAATACACACATACAAACACATCTGGAGCTTTTGATCATCAAAGCTGCTACTAACCTGAGTTGTTCTCTTTAAAACACTGAAGAACATTTGGGATTACTTTTACAACTCTTTCAATGAACACTGAGCAAGTAAACTGTAACTGTAAGTGTGCCAAGGCAATTCTTTACCAAGAATACCTTTCTTCAACAGAGGGTTCGAATGCATACCAGAGATCATTCAAAAAATACCATCTTCTCTTTATTATGTTTATAGAATGCAATACTGTGGAATAATCAAAGTGAGCTGGAATTTGGTACTGTAATCAAGGTTCAAGACTCTGCAGTTGTAGTCTCGAGTCCTAATAAAAACATTACAGTTAACCACATAACAAAGTTTATAAATCAAAGATTCTAAATTCAATACTGATAACATGTGCAAATATTTAATATTAAGCACATTAAAAAATAATACAAAAAATTCAGTTATGTTATCCAAGAGATAGCTAGAAAAAAAAGACTGGTGTGAGTGTACATGTGGTGATGTGAGTGCATGTGTACATACTGAGAGGAATGCTTGTTTTTATGAATGTGTAAGTGTGTATGAGCATCCATATTCTAACAGAGTAAGAAATTCCAACTGAAGAGGTCTGACATAATGATTAGGTGAATCAGTAACAAACATGCCATGTGTCTACTTAAACCAGTTTTCAATCAGAGCAATGTATATAACCTTTAAAAATCTCAAACATCCTCACAGAAAGTGATAACCACTGAAAATACTACAGAGATCATTTGACTGAATTTGAACCTCAGTCTGAACCCCTACTGCAAGACCTCAAATTCTTCATCATCCTCTGATTCTAAGTGGTGATCCTCTAGCTCCATACCTGTGAAAAAAGGAAATTCATCTTAGCAAAAGAATTGATGATTGAATTTGTGTTCTGAACACAAAAGCCTTGCTTCCTTTATTTGTAGGGGTCACTCTTTTACACCTACAGCTCTAAAAAATCAAACATAATGAGTATGATCCACTCATATTTCTCTTGCAGATATGATTGTTTATATGCCTTTCAGTGTAAAATTAATGTCAGGACCACAGGATATGCAAGTATGAATATCATGACTTACATCTTCCTGAAGCTCCTTCTAAGGAACTGTCATCCTTCATGTAGTCTGGTCGCGTAGGTACAAGTTCAAAGAGAGGGGTCTTTTCAGCATCTATAAGTTCTTGGCGCATTCGGTTACACAAGTCATCATACTCTTTCTCTGTGCCGCAGTAGAAACACTGAAAGAAATAGGGTATAAGGGTCATCTGACATTTTAATTTCACTTGAATGTTATTAGTATTTACATTATTTTTTCTTTTTCTTATAGTATGGTCTCTTACTTATAGAGTTACACAGTAAAGCAGATATCCAAGTATTGATTTTTAAAAAAAAAAAAAAAAATAAACTGGTGATACAAAATGGTGATCACATTGACTAACGAAAAAAATTACCAATGCCAAAGACGGATCTAGATGTTCAAAGGGCATTCGCTGTGCATACATGCAGTGGTAAGACTTGTCTGTTTCCACTTCCGTTTCCGTTGCCTTCTTGGCTACACTGCCTGCTTCTTGGGTTGTGTGGGGATCTAGGTAGACGACCTCATCACCTGAAAACAAAAACAGTCGATGAATCATTTCTTTAAGGTTATCTAGAGGTTAATATGGACAAAAGAGTTTCAAAACATTATATTTTACATTGTAATTTGTCATATTTTCATTACACAATGTATTTTCACTCACCAACAAAGCCTATAAAATAGGAAGCATGATTGGGCTTTCCACCTATGAGACCTAAAGACTGGGGCATCTTAAAGCATTTCTGTTTGAACAGGAAAATAATCATATAATTATAGTGCAGAAATCAACCAGCTGATACTATTGTTACAAACAAATATAGATGTGTTTGCTCATTTACCATTTTTGCTTTTGCATGCCAAGAAGTAACGAGTTTAAGCTACCTTAAGTGAAAAATATTAGATATCTTGATTTGAAGTTCTGATGACATTTGAAAAATATAAGACAACTGTTTAACAGGAAAAAGGCATTTCCCTTATAAGGGGAACACAATAACAAAACATACTGTCATATCTCTAAATCTTTGTACCTTAATGCCTGAGTAATATACAGGATTCATCTCAGAGAGTCCTAGTCGGAGTGGAATGAAAAGGAGCAGTGGCCGCCATCCTCTCTCGCCTTCAACCTGACAGCTGCACTCTGTTAAATTTTGCAAAATGTCAAAAGGCATTCACTTGAAATCCATCTACATAACTATAATCACAATCTGAATTGGTTTTGCTATAATACAGATGTCTCTAAGCTGATACTCCTAATATGCAAAAAGATTACAAACTTACTGATTTCGTCCATGATGACAATGTTGTCCAGGGCAACATTAACACTAAAGTTATTCCATTCATCAAATATCACCAGTTTTCTGACAAGAAAGAAAATATCAATTAATTCTTCCAAACGTCACTTCCAAGATGGTGACCAGCCTTGATGATTCCGTTATCCTCAGAAAAAATCTCCATAACTTCATAACTATCCAACACAGCAAACATTAATAACAGTAGCATATATAATCTAACAAAACTGATCCACTGAGTAAAGCACTCACCGGATGACTTGTGCAACTGTGTTAGGACCATACCACTCCCCGATTTGCTTGCCTTCATCCACCCCCAGCTGCGACATGATGTGGAGAGAGAAGGTGGCACACTTGTGGTCTTCAAACAAACTCAGTATCCTAAGGTAGGTCTCATCACTGGTGGATGACTCCCAGGTCCAGTCTCTCCCTTTCAAATAAATATTGAAAGATAACAATAAATACAATAATAACAACAATAAATGGACTCTATGGGAGTAGGCATAAAAATTAAATTGGGAAATATATCAATATCATAATCATCACTTACATCACAACTACTAATCATATGAAAAGGGTTCATGGTGACAGTTTTTGAGAAATATATAAATGGGAATGAATAATGATTATATCATCACCATGATACATAATTCCCCTTTGCCTCTTGATTCAATACTTTCCATTGACATCTTTATCCCTAACTATTACTCTTCATAAATCCAATTGTCTAAATCTAATGGAACATTTATAATTACAACAATCATTGCAATAATACCATCTGATCTATTACTAGTGCCTTTTATTTGGATATTAACATGGGAAATATACTCTTAGCCAACAAGCATTAATTCCTTGATTTACTATGTCTCAATCTTTATCTTGATTCAGACAGAAAATAGTAAAGAAAAAAAAATAGACAATATAACATTCGCCAAAATGAATAAGGGAATAAAATAATGAGGAAAGAAAATACACAAGAAAAATAAGAAAAAAGAAAGAAAAAACACTCATAGAAAAAAGCAAGAAAATGTGAGAGAAAGAAGAAAACTGGTTATAACTTGATGAAAGGAAAAATATTGAGAAGGAAGGCTTAAAGGACAGAAACAGAAAGGAAGACTAAGAGAAGAGAGCAAGACAGCACACAACTCAGGCGACAAAGGAGATACCTAAATGCCTCCGGATCAAGGCCTCTGCCAGCACCATCTGTCCACAGCGCAGCATGCAGCCCCATCCCTTGTCAGATGTAAAGTTCGAATCTCCAATTTGAGCAAAGTTCCGTCGATAAGTCATCCATAGCCGTGACTGCACATCACTCCTCAAAGCTGCAAGATCTGAGGTAGAACAAATAAAGGTTATAGTACAGATATATAACTATATTACAGAAAAATAAAATAAAACTAAAAAGGACAAAAAATGGAAGTCTAAAAATTTGATATTAAGACTTTAAACATTCAGTTTTCTCTTTCAACTCATTAAGTTCCCCTTTAACTAAGCTTTTATTAAACTGAAAAAGGCAGAGTAAAGCAAATGAAATACCATCCTGTCACAAAAATTTTCCAAATGCTTCAGGTGACACATGTGCACATGTGTTACTATCATATCATATCCTCTAGGGGACATTCCTCCAACCTAAAATAAAATTAGAAAAAGCTCAGACTAATGAAATAAGAAAAAGCTTAGAGTAGTAGCTAAATTATAAGAATGTCATACACACCTGTTTGAGTTGAGTACTCCTTGCCTAGCAACCAAACTGGCTCCTCGGTCTTTGGGAAATCCTCCGGCTCACTCAGAGCACCTTCATATGTCATACAAGCTGAAATCAAGCAAGATTTCTGTATAAAACAAACTTAAAAAATGACAGTCAAGAACCATTCAGTATAGGTAATGTACAAGTCTTTGCTGAATAAAGTATTTCAAAAGCAATACAGCATCTGTCAAGGTAAGAACATCAAACAATGATAAACAATTAACGTCTATCAAAAACGGAAGCTTCCAAGCTTTAGTCTAGTAAAAAGGAAAACATTTTGAAAACCTATGTCTTCACAGATTATAAAAAATACACATTACTAAGTATAAAAACACTGCAATAACAAATGTCAAAAGTCATAAAAATAATAAACAATAAATAAATAAATACATTAATATATATCATAAAAAACAAAACCATTTGAGGGATAAACTTGTTACAGAAACCTGATCCAAGATATATACAGTACAAACATGCCCATCAAAGTTCAACAACCTACATGTTTGGACACTTTACAAAGCAAGGGATTCTGTGCACAACATCTTTACAATACACTTATATAGGAGAGTAGTAACGTTTATTTCTCTTTCCTTTTTTCTGTTGACATACCTATCATCTTAGAAAGATTATGAAGCCACCCAAAAACAATACAAAGGTAAGGATCGAAGATGTGTAACACCCAGAGCAGGTATCTGCGCCAGCGATATGGTAGTTTAAGGGACCATCTGCCAATCATCATCTACAAAAAAAGAGATATAGGGAACATCATTCTAACTCTGCTCACCTAAGAACCCTTGCTACTGAATGGTTTAAGTGTAAGTATCTACATACAGAGATTGATAAAAAGATAGACAGATAGATAGATGTTCATTTATCTTTTCCATCAGTAGTTATTTAACAGACAGAGGTTCTGTGTCTGGAAACAGAATTTGTTCCTTGAGCTCTGTAATCAAGTGCCTTCCTTGTTACCTATGAGAAGACAGTCTATTCAAAACACAGGCATTCTTTCAAAAGGTGAGAATAGTAAAAAAAAAAAAAAAAAGAATATCTAATACATGTACCTCCTATTATTCTATTTCACCCTGACCTTTTACATACTGTATATTCTCTGAAAAACAACAAAATTTCACAATCACAAACTGCACGAAAAAGCTTATTTTCAACCAAGGTATTGCATCTTGAAGAAAATGCAGTTTTAAAGGAACTTCTGGTGGTAGCTCTGTAAGTCAATCACACAATCAGCTCTTCAAAGCAATGCATAGTAAACAATGATACAATCATCTGCAGTTAGAACATACCTGATCTCATCATGGAGTTCTATAATAAGAGAAAGATTCAGTAATGTCTTGTATAATCTTGATGGGTTCAATAAATACATCTCAATCCGAACAGTACTTCCCTCTACATACGGATCACACTGTATCCAACCCACATTAAACACAAAATATAATCCATTCCTCTCTAGCTTTGGATTTCATTCTTGAACCTTTTCAGAAATACATTCTCAATTCCAAATACTTAAAATTAATACTCCTAAATTATACCTTTTGTTCATATTCTCAGAAAGATTTCCTTTAATTTCCGAATAAATTAGTCCACTTCCTTATTACTAAAGAAATGATACCTTATTAAACACCTTTACTCTTTTTTCCACTTGTTATAAGTTCACACTTTGATCCTAGATACTTTTTGATGCAGAATTTCTACCTTAAATTTAAACTTAAAAGCAAATAATACCTAATCAGGTTCTTTGCTCTCATCGGCTTTATGTTTTCTAATCAAAAAATATGATCAGAATATCACAATACTATGACCAAGAAATTCCACTTGAAAAATGGATTTTGTTTTGCATTATCAGGCTGAGGTCTATTGAAATCTTATCTTCTTATCTTCTTAATGACAATTGAGTTGGTAAAAAAACTAAAATGAAGCTTATGTGAAATATACTTCTTTCGGCCATTGGTAGATTTTTACACAGGCTTTCATTAACATGTAAGATGTAATAAGTCCTGATCCTATTTCATGGATCACACAACATTCAAGTCATTTAAACTTATCCACAGTGTGATTGGTAAGAAAAATAAAAGGAATTTCAAATACATAATGCATTCATTAACTTGAATATCTCGTTCTGTTACCCCAAGAACTGTGCAATTCCCAAATCTTTTCATCCTTGTGGTGGACAATGAATGACACTTTCTTTTTTTTATCTAATAACATACAAGGAGGGAATTCTGTTACATGCTCCCTACCTAGCGGTCAGCACAACTAGACAAACTTGGCTATCGCTTAGCAGCAAATGCCTCGGATGCTGAAATCTGGAAACGTGACATAGACTTTCCGTAATCTGGTCAGAACAGCAGACTCAGTCACCTTATCAAAATGATCGGTATAACATTTTAAGGAAGACCCCTAGCGTGTACTGACTGCCGCATCGCAATTACTGAGCGAGGTGAAAAAGCACATTATAAGGCTCCCCATGGTTGCTGAATACCTAGGACAGTGCATACCCTGGCTCCCTCATCTTCAATTTATATGCCGTTTCTCACATTTTATTTGAAAAATAAAATCATCAGCACAGTAAATCAATGACACCAATTACAAAGTCCCGTTTACATCTTTTTACTGCTCCGTTGCGCGGTGTAAGAAGCACACTTCCTATCTAACAGCAAATCTTGGCATAAGGAAATAGGCAAATAGGTAAATAAATAGAAAGACAGATTATAAACCTCTTTAGGCAACAAATATGTCAGATATTCAAGTAATATATCATGATTTCATTACTGTAAAGCAATGTCATAATATAATGCAAATTGCAACAAAGAAATGAACAGGAAAGCTTCGCAGGAAATCATATGGTATTCTAAAAAATAAAGAAATAAAAAAATAAAAACAAAAAATTATAAACAAAGAAAACTTCAGATGGCAACACTTCGTCTCGTCTCCTGACCCTTGAAATCGAGTTAAATAATAAAGAAAACATATCCAAATGATGCCTTAGCAACGCCTAATTGAACCCATGTTTCCATTAAGATCATTTACTCAGTTGTGAGAAACATATTTCCCCTAATTAGTAAAGAAAAAAATGTTGACCCCGCCTTCTATGTCATGACTCACCTCATTTTGACACACAAAGGCATAATTCTCCGCGGAATAATAAGCTACAGCACTCAAATACCGGTCGATCCGAGAATTTCCTCGTCTAATTGCGAAGGAAGGCCTGAAAATGCGCCATTTAACGGGACATAACACCAACCTGCAATAATGTCATCCATGATCACTTGTCACTCTGTTTTGTTTTGTGACGTCACGGTCGTTTTCTTATCATTTGCTTTTTCTGGGTCTTTTGAACCCTTTCATGTGCTTTGATAAATGTTCCTTTTTGTTAAATTGTAGTCAAACAGTTTGGGGGTTAATGGGTGTTATTATTATTTTCTTTTTTTCTTTTATTGTGAATGCAAAACCAGCTGATGGATGGGAAACATTTGAAAGACTTTTGGTTCAGATTGATAGACTTTGTTAATAAGCTGAAAAAAACATTATTCTATTAGAAATAACACCACTTTATATGGTGAATAATATTATTATGCGTATTTCTCATGATAGCAAAGCAAGAGATAGCAATATTAATAATGTTTACATATTTATGCCATTCTATCCCTCGTTCACATCTAGTTGAGGCCCAGTAGCAGACGGTCATGTGTGCGGAATTTTGTTTTAGATGAAATTGTATTTTGTTTCGATTTTTATCGCAATTTCGGCCACACCGAGACAATTAGCGACATGTAAGTTAAATATTGAGTGAATGTGTCTGTTGAATCAATCAGATTTGGGTGTTTACTCTTAGTTTCGACCTTGTTTTATTAAGCAGAGAGAATTTGGTGTGAGGAAATTTGTAAACATTTAATTTGTTTTGCTTTCTGAGGTGAAGAGTTTGATAAATGTTTAGAAGACACATGCGATGACTTAGAAAACAAGAGTTTTTGGTTTATATTTTCATAATGACCTACTAAGATGCGGAAACTCAAAAGGACTGTCATAAAGAGAGCGGAAAACTAAACTTACAGGTATATGACATGATCCGCTGAGGCAAAGAGTAACGTCATAAATAAAGAGAACAGGTCGTAGCAAAGTGTGATTTGACTCATTTTGATGCTTAGGAAGGGGCTTTAGCGTTATTCCCATTGATACACGAATGTGGAATGTAACGTGGAAGCCGTAACTGGAAGAGCATCGGCTCCAGAGAGAAGACAGCATTTCCACGTTGCGCACCTTATTCCCGTCCACTGTGATTGGCGGCACAGGTTGTATTACGCGAAACTACACCTACAAGCTGCACGCCAGGGATGTTGACTACTTGTGTAACCCGCCGCCCGTATATTCGGCACCGTTATTTCCACGATGCAACCGGATCCAACGGGTTAAACTGTCTGGTTTAGTTTGAGAGGGTACAGTCATTTTGTAAAGTCATGGTGCAAGGGGTAACTAAGCTTCCCAATATATATTCTGACGAAATAGAGCTTGAATTGCTTTCTTACTTGAAGCTAATTCAATAGGGAGGTCTACAAAGTGATTTTATGTGTCTTGACCAGTGACAGATATATATTTTTTTCTTTCTTTCTCTTTTTTTTTTTACAGAATTTAGAAATTAAAAGACCTGAGATAACGTTACTAGCAACGAGATATTAAAAACTCTACATATTTCTTCTCAGGTGTTGAATGAATTCATATCACGTCTACTAGAATGGGGATCCAGGACCTAATGGCCTCACTGGGGGAGAACCCCTACTTCAGTGCTGGCTTTGGTCTCTTCGGTGTGGGGGCAGGAGCAGCTGTGTTGAGGAAGGGATACATGGTAAGGTATCAAGTGTTTGACTTGGACTATCTACAAGGGTTTTATGTATGTTAATTACTGCTAGATAGCTAATGGGTGAGTTGTGGAGTGAATGTTATATCTGTATTAGCATTGTATTTTCTGTCATTATCAATTAGAATGATCACTTTTACCAAATAAGTATCACATAGTATAAGATCTGTACATAGTTATAAGTACAGGAAATAACCACTGAATTCATAACTTCCAAGGTTGGCCTGATCCTGTTTCGACGCCACTACATGACAACTCTTGAAGTTCCTTGCCGAGACAAGTCCTACAGTTGGCTGCTCCAGTGGATTACACACAAGGGAGCTCGAAATACTCAGCATCTCAGTGTAGAGACAAAGTTTCAGCAAATTGAAACTGGAAAGATAACAACTCGTCATGACTTTATTCCCAGTGTTGGTGAACATTTCTTCTGGTATGTGGATTTATTGTATATATATAAAGGACATTGTGAAACAAAAAAAAAAAACAACCCTCGTCTATTTGATTTTGAGCTTGTATTTGTTTCTTTCCATTATTTCTCTCTATTGTCGTAATTTGTATTTTTCAACTATTTATTTGCTTTATTCTTTAGATGATTTCATTTTCTTTAGCTTTCACTTCTTGAGATGATTTTAAAGATATTGAGTCACATCATCTTATGTGTATAATGATAGGGATAAATGACAACCTTCACCCATTTGCTGCTAAATCAACTGCAACAGACTCTGACCCTTTTATTTATTTATTTATTTATTTTATTTTATTTTTTATTTTTTGTTTTTAAATTTGTGTCAGTACCAGGAAAAGTATGAAAAGAATTTTTAAGATATTGAGGAAAATAGGTTATTGCAGCATTTGGCAACTCATATGTGTTTGTCATTCTGAAGTGTCTGGCAGCATCAGGGTAAAGGCATAGCTTATGCTCAGCATTGTACATAAATGAGTAACATGGGTTGAGATTATATAGGGTCTTGAATTTCAGTGATGAAAAAGACAAAAACTAAATGACTGAAACTTCACTGTTTCCTTTATCTTTAAGACCTGCTTTATTTTGTTTTGTTTTTTCTCCATCGTAATTTGGAATTCTTGAACTGCTAATTTCCTAGGTATGGTGGTACATGGCTTAAGGTGGAACGCGCTCGTGAACAACGCACACTAGACTTAGAGCATGGCACCCCTTGGGAAAATGTTACAATTACAGCATTTGGAAAACAGAAAAAATTGTTTTCCGATATCATTAAAGAAGGTGTGTGCAGAAGTTTTTATTTTTGTTGGAATTCATTGCCCAAGTAAAGATAGCACTTTATAGTTTTTCAAAGTAACATTTGTTATTTGTATATGAAATATGTTTTTGGAAGTTTCAATGCCAAGGCTGTATGCTTATTCTATGTTAATGCAAAGTATTATCTGTCAGCAAATTAGGCTAATAATGACCTGAATAAGAAATACGTAATATTATGGTATCATGATCTCACCTTGTGAAGAATATATGGCACAAATTTTCCTCATGTGATGCCCCTATGGTGGATCACTTAGGGGAGGCCTGAACTTTGTACTGTTTTAGTCCCAGCATAAGGGAAAGCCTTCCTTACTCCAGATCTCCATGCACTGACAATCCTTAATCTTTCCTTAGCAAAGTTTTCTCTTTTTTACTCTGGTACAAGAATGCAAAATGAGATTAATTCAGTATTAAAATGAATTGAATGGTAGTACCAAGGCACAAAATTAAAGCTGTTAGCCAGGTTCTTCATGTTTTCTTTAAGTCATGTACCCCTGTCCTGGATGTTTCATGTCGTATGCTTAAAAAAATGGAAAAATAGAAAATATCCCATCTCGCAAAAGCAGAATAATGCAATTTGCAGAATATGAAGGAAACTGTAGAAGTTTCTATGTATGAGATTAATTTTCAAAGGATTTTTCCTAACAATGCATATATTTTTCAAGTTCAGGTTTGAGTAATTTCGGTGCTGCCTTGTTCCAGGTACAGAAGGACTTGGATACGTGTTGAGAGGATAAGATCAGACCAAACCATAGATCTTCACATGGGTGTCCCATTCGAATCTGTTAAGCTTACAGCCTTTGGCAAAAACAGATCTCTTTTTGTTGATATTTTGGAAGAGGGTTAGTTGAAATTTCTTATAGATGAATGATAATTGCTTTTAGTGTCTTTTTGAAAGGAACTTTTTGGCTTTGATTTTGATATAAGAAATTGTAAAATTTATGTAACTAAAGAGCACTGTTATATAAGTACATGAGGTTTTTGCCCATTGCACCTGGGGTTCTAAATTACCACTTTGGTTAAAGTATGGATGTGCTACTCTCAAGTGGGCATTTGTGAACTCATGGAGAATTGATTTATTGATTTCAGTTGTTTCCCATGCACCCATGCTCCTAGGGGCTTTCTTTACAAAAGTACGAGAAGTAAAGAGTTTACATTTTGGACATAGAGCACTACACATGATTTCAGAAACTTGGCCAAGTTGTCCTTGACATCCAGGTGTAATGGGTCAATAAGATACATGATCATTAAGGAAGGTAGTTTGGATTATTCAATATAATTTTTGTTTTTTTTATTCACAATTATTTGATAGGGGACCCTAATTTTTCTTTTGATTCTTCAACTCCCATAGCACGTGATATGGCGATAAAGCAGAATGAGGGGAAGACCATAATGTACACAGCCTATGGTGCAGAATGGCGACAGTTTGGCAACCCAAGAAAACCTCGACCAATCAGCTCAGTTGTCCTTGACCGTGGATTATCTGACAAGATTGTCAGAGATGTAAAAGACTTCATGGAAAATCCTGAGTGGTATTCCAGTAGAGGTTAGTTGGATATTGTTTTACATATTTAGCTCTTGTATTTTTGAGTATTTCCTTGGACCAGATTAATGATTTGATTTAATCTTAAAGGAGAACAAAGGATAGTATCACATGTTTCTGAAAACAGGTTATATTTGCTCTGTAGGGGAGAGGTTGTAAGGTTATTTTGTTTTTCATGACAATAACACTGAACCACTACCCAGCAGAGCCTCAACATTGAAACTCTGTTACCTTTCTAGTAAAATCCAGATATATTGTCTCGTTACAGGAATTCCATACCGCCGGGGCTATCTTCTACATGGGCCTCCAGGCTGTGGCAAAAGCTCATTCATTACAGCATTAGCAGGGGAACTGCAGCTTGGCATTTGTGTCCTTAACCTGAGTGAAAGAGGCCTCACAGATGACCGCCTGAACCACCTGCTGGCTCTTGCTCCTGAGGTAAGTGACAGTGGATTTAGATTAATAGATCAAGAAATATAGAATAGATTTTTGCATGTATGAGGCAGTGAGAATGAGAGAGGCAAACTTACGAATACCAAGTTTTGAGATAAATGGGTTTAAAGTTTGTATTTTGCCCTAACCATGAGTTTTACACTATATTTATGACCTTAATTCTTAGCCATTGATAGATGAACTAACCATACCATTTCTTGCCATAAGATAGAGCAGATTTCATAGAAAATGAGTGTGCAAGAATTGCATATTTGTTATTCGCCTTTCCCATTGTCAAAGCCTCATATTTGTGCATGTGTGTGCGAGAGGGAGAGAGAGAGAGAGAGTGTGTGTGTGAGAGTAATTGCTGGCTGTATGTTTGTGTTTTCAAAATACATGCAGATAGTAGAAATTTCAGTGGTCAAGTGTTGAGGTTTGCGTATAAGTTTACTTATTTCAACCAAATTATACATAACAGATGTAAAATGTGGGTTAAGATTCATAAATTATTTTATTAGTTTTTGATAAAAGCAAAGTGTTTATGAAATTTCAATTTCCAGAATACCATAATTTTGTTGGAAGATGTGGATTCAGCCTTTGTCAGCAGGGAAGACACAGCAGAGAGTGAGTTCAGATTAGATTTAGAAAAATGTTTCAATAGTTTTCTTGGTTAATATCTAAAAAAAATCTATAGAAAATTGTCATTGGGTTATGTGTTGTAAATTGATTATTTCAGTTCATGATAAGAATGTATAAATTATAGAATTCTTCCTCAGTGAAACATATATTGGAAAGCATCCCTTGAAAATGTAAAATTGATTCTTGTTTATTTGTGCTTGGAACAAGTCTCATGTACCAGTGGTATATGATTTTCCTATTAGTAATTTACACTTTCTTATGACAGTGAAAGCTGCATACGCTGGCCTCAATAGGTTGACTTTTAGTGGTCTTTTGAATTGCCTCGACGGGGTTGCCTCAACTGAAGCCAGAATTGTATTTATGACTACAAACTATCCTGAAAGGTAAGAAATTATTTGAGATAAATTATAATCATGTCTTTAATATATTCATTTGTGAATTTTAGTAATGTAATTATCTGTTTAATTTTAATATATTTGTGTACTTCCTCATAAAAGATCTTTTCTTTACAAGTGATATTAATTGATAAGATCAGGTATTTTCAGACACGTCATTTTATATCAATAATAAATAAAAAAATGTATTTTGCTTAATCATAAAAACTCAGTTGTACATATTACTACATTGTAATTTTATATATATTTTCTTTTACTTAAGATTGGATCCAGCTTTAATCAGACCCGGTCGTGTTGATATGAAGGAATACATTGGTTACTGCACACCATATCAGCTAGAGACAATGTTCAGCCGCTTTTATCCAGAGGAACCTGCCCTTTCCGTTCATGCTTTTTCCCAGGTATGTATTAATAGATTCAGTGTGACAGTGGTTGAAAAAAACACAAGAATTGAAAGTTGAAAACTCATTGTATTTTCTCATACTTAACATTTTTCGAAGGTATCTGTATACATTTCAGAATAAACTTGACAGTTATTTAAATTCTGTATAAATGATATTACTTAAGGTCTTTTGGTATTCAAGATTTAAGGGAATTGTTCCATATTTTTATTACTTTATTAACATTCATTACATTACATTCTCGCTTATTGTGTGTGAAACTGTTGTTCTTGCATTTGAAATAAGAATTATAAGATTAATACATTAGTCCTAACAGATTAATGTACAAACATTGCAAATTTTATGTAATTTTATTAGAAATATAAAAAAGAAATCCGTTATTTCTTTTATAATAATTAGGATACCCCTTTCCCTCGGTACCCTTTAAATATGCTGTGGTGATCTTGGCCTTTCTGCCTGGCATCAAGAGTCTTAATTACCACAATTACTGACCACAATTACTGTTTCAGGCTGTGAAGAATTTGGGAGTGTCGGTGAGTGCAGCAGCCGTACAAGGACACTTCATGATTTACAAAGATGACCCCCAGGGAGCTGTGCATAACGTTATCCAGATGGCACAAATTAAAACATTTATACCGAAAGAGGATGAGGATATACAAAATATTGGAAGTCAGTTTAATGAAATAGCAGAGGCAAAGAAGAATAAGTGATAAGATGAGACTGAAATAATGTATGTAAGGGTGTGTGGATGTAAGTAAGGACAAGAAGTCTATTTTGTAAAAAGTTGTCGCTTGTGCAATGTGTACATATGTAAATATAAATTTTTATGTTAGAAATTATCATGATCTGTTTCCAAGTGTCAAGAACTGAAATGAATGCATGTATTATTAAGAAAAAAAAATCCTTTTATTAAATCCTGTGGAATGTATTGGTGAACATATTAAGGTAATATTTTAAAAGAGTGGACAAGTTTTATCCTCATCATATGATAAAAAAGAAAAGAACATCAATACCTTTGATTTGATTATAGATTATTTATATGAAACTATATATGCCAATGGTGATAAACTTTTGCAAAAATAATAGAAGTAGAAGCAAACATACTGTTTCTTTTAAGAAGTAATATTTCATAAGAATACATTCATCAATCTGTACAATCTTGATGTCACTTAAAGGTCTCAACAATACTGAGGGACAAATTATTGCACATGGCAGGCTGGATTCAGTCTGTGGAGCATAGATTGCTGCCCCTTGACCTATAGCTCATGATTGTCTTAGAAAATATTATGCTGTCACAGCATTTTGAAGCCAGCTTGTCCGTGTCTGGGCAGGGGAATGTATTTATAATGTAAATTAAATAGGAGGCTGGGGAACTGGAAAGGAGCTCAGCAACTTTGGCTGGGTTTTTGTAGTGGAATCTGGGTTATACTTTGCCCAGGTTCTACGCTACAGTACCACACATTGTGAATATTAATAAAATACAAATTCCTCATTTCAATTAGATCACTTTTACAAATATCACATAATTTTGATAAACTAGACCTAATGGATAATTATATTAATATTGGGTTTGAAATATTTTATTCCCCATAAAATAAAATATGGAACAAGGCAAATGTAATCATTCCCTGTTATTTTTTGGGCCATTTTCATATTTTCAGGTAAAAAAAAGAGTAGAAGTTCAGAAACTTTCTTCAAAGTTCCATAAACAAAAAGCATCTTTTCTTTGTTAAAGTCCAGCTTTACAAATAGCTAAATTATATCATTGGCAATTGGAATGATTTAGCTTCGTCCTCCAAGCCACCATAATTTCACAGTGTTTTCTTGTGTGATTTTCTTCTTGGAAAACATGGGCTTCGACACACTCTCATCAGAACTGGAGTCACTTTCCACTGGCTCTGGGAAGTGCCTCTGGCCAGAGCTGGTTGCTAAGATGGCATTGTAAGGATGTAGGCTGTAAATAAGACAGACAGACATAGACCTGTATCATTTCATATTTGAAAGACATGCAAAACTATAACAACATAATTATATAAAGATTAGCATGGTAATTGTTAAATTTCATTGGTCTAAACAAATATTTCACAATGCTCAAGAAATTGTCAGAAACACTATTTATGATCAACATAACAAAACAGCAAACCTTTTTTCCCCCACTTTTCTTTGGTCTTACCTTATTCCATTACAGCAGTCTTTATGAGCCGGAAAAGATGCGCTAGGTTGCAGAACTGGCACACTATCACCACATTCTGTTACTCCTTGCTGATCTAAATCCCATTTCAGTACCTTGCCTCTTGTGTCTCCTGTAGCACAGGAATAAGCACAGATGAAAAAAAAACAATGTAAGAGAGATCTTTTACATGATATTTATTGATCAAACAATATCAATGTATTTTTTTTCTTCTTTAATAAATCATCAGTTCCATTACAGAAGCTTGCTTTTGTGAGAATAATCTGAAACAAAATGCTAGTGTCCCAAACATATTCTATATTCGCACGCACACATGCACGCATGCACATACACATACACACAGGTTATTTACAGACAATATACACTTCACACCATAAAAAAACACAAACAATATCCTGAAGCAAATAATTAACTCCAGGACATAACCTTCTTTTATCATACTAGTTTCTCATTCAGCTGGATGATTAAGTCAATACAAGTCAGGTCCTGCCACAAGCAACACATGATTTCCGACATCACTGCACAATTTACCAACACAGAAAGTATCAATGCTACAACTTATAACATATAACTATGCCACAATACACAGAAAAATCTCACCAGACACAAGGTATCTGCAAAGTTCTGGCTCTAAATCAAAGTAGATTCGTTGGTTTGTGCTGATCTCCCTCTTCAAACTATACAGAATAGTCCCCAACTTCCTTATGTCCCAGCAAAGAATTTCATCATCCTGTAACAGAAGTAGTGGTATTACCTGAAGGAAAGTAAATAATATGAAACTTAACATATAAAAAGGACAATAAAGATTATGATCCTGGTAGTAATGAAAAAAATCCAAGATTTGCCCAATGGCTTGAGGAAAGGTGATGCAATGAAATCAAGATAATATTTAGTCTTAGTCTTCAGTTTTCACCTTTCCTCACAGGAAATTGTCCCAAAGAAAATTAGCAAAAGGGAAACTAACTTTTAAAATAATACTTATGGATGAGGCCTTAAAAATCACATTTGGGAGAGGTAACCAACCTGGAATTAACTTCCACTCAAATGTATCACAGTTTAACAAGCTATTATTGAAAAATATTTTAAAATCTAAACCAACTGAATTTCTTTAGTTCTTATTAATGACAACAAGTAATTATCTTTAAGTTAATAATTACATTTCTTATAGTCGTAATCACTGCTCAAAGAGAGGGGTAATGAAATGTGTCATAATCCGTAACCATTTATATAGAGCCCTGTCCTGCTCTAAGAATACAAGTTAATGGATTAGCTCAATGCATAATAAAAGAATATCCTTGAGACATGCATCCTTATTAGGAGTATATAAGCCCAATAAAGTGCTTGCCCTTCATAGCAAGTTTTCCTAATTGTTATGTCCCAATAATGATTATAAATATTATAATACTGTTGAAATGATTATACTAATAATAAAGATAATGATGATCTTGAAAAAAAAAAAAAAAAAAAAAAAAGTTTA